AAGAATTTGAAAATGGAACCGAAGTTGAAGGTGTATTTGATTCTGATAGTTGTGAATTTGATAATTTCATTTTGGAGACTTGATAAGCAAATAATGGATGTGTTGGTGGTTCTGTTGGAGTAGCCAATCCTTTGCTCTAAAATTAGATTGATATAAATAAAATAAATTTTGTTTCAAAAAAATATAAATAAAATATATTTACAATTTCTGATGCCCATGTTGAAAGCATCATAAAGTTAATTTCGATATGATTTTCTTTACTTTGATCTTTATTCAAACATGCTCGACTATGTAAATCACAATAATTTGCAGTACGAATTTTTATAACATTTTCTGCTGTTTGACCTTCTTTAGTTGTAAGATTAGAAATTTTTGGAATATCATTTTTATTTTTGTATATTTCTAGAGGACTGCCTTCTGATCTAGTAGATTCTATTTCAGAATTGGTATTCTAAAATAATATATAAATTGTTAACTTTAATTTAAATAAAATATAAAGTTAAAACATATAAATTTACCCTTTTTTTATATTTGTTTTTGGCTAAATCTTGAGAATTTATAGTTATAAAAATTCCCATATTGGTTTTTCGTGAAGAAAGTCTACGATATTCTGAGCAGAACTTTTGAAAATCTTGTTCATCGACTAACTGAGTTCCAGCTCCCATAGCTTTTTCGCCTTTGAATGTTATATTATAGTCATTTGCTTCAATTGATTCATTTTTCACTAATGTAATTATATTTTTATGAATTTCTAAAAGAAACTCATCAATTTCGGATATTACTGCTTTATACCACTTCGTTGGTAAAAATTTTCCATCTAACTTTATAAAAATTCCATAGTGAAATTCATATTCGTAGTCCTTTTCCGTATGTACATCTTCTGTATCATATATATCATCTTCACTAGTTTCGTCAGATTCAAGAAAATCTGTTGGATTATAAATGCTTTCATATGTAAGATCATATATTTCAGGTTCGAGTTTAATCTTCTTAGAAAAATTTTGGACTGTCTTTTTTATTGAATCAGATGATTTTTTTTTTGCTGACGCTAATTTAAGCAATCCATTATTACATCGTGAGCAGAGCGAAAAATTAAAAGACTCCTTCAAATTTACTGCATAGTTATATTTTAATACTTTATCACGAACAAAAGAAATTTGGTCTGCTGTCCATTCTGGAGTAAAAATTCGTGTATACGCATACTTGACAGCATCAGTTCGATTGCCTCTATGAGGTGGCTTCGTTATATCGCATTTACATTTTTGCTTTTGTAGATCAACTCCACAATACAAACACTTTCGGCATCCAAAGCAAGTTCCTCGTTTGTATTTAAGTTTTGTATCTAGTGCATCAGCCATTGAACGCAATAGCAGAAATAAAAAAATATAATATAAATTGAATTTTTGTTTATATAAATGATACGATAAATAGAAGTTTATCTTTATTATATCACTACGTCATTTAGATTTCCAATTTCCTGATTTCCTATACATATGTATATCATAAAAATTGCTGTTCCACGTCTTTTTGAAAATAGCTGTAATTCCTTAATTAATTCCTTTATTAATTCCTTAATTAATTCCTTAATTAATTCCTTAATTAATTCCTTTATTAATTCCTTAATTAATTCCTTTATTAATTCCTTAATTAATTCCTTCATTAATTCCTTAATTAATTCCTTAATTAATTCCTTAGTTGATCCCTTAATTAATTCCTAGCATTTTATCTTTTCTGCTACTGCAATGCAGAATAATATTTAGAAGATTTTGCTTAGCGAAAAAGGTTTTAACGTAGGATTTGATAATTTAAAACTTTTAAGTGTACAAAGTAACAAATATTTTTATTGATTAATTTAGAAATTTTCAATTAATACATTCGTAGAGTTCATATTTCTATATAAAGTTAATTAATAATTAAATAAAAATTCAATGGGCATAATCTACTGTCATTAAAAATTTACCATCATTTAAATTATTATAAAATTAAGAAAAAATAAAATTTCTGCAAAACTACTAGATAAAATAACCCATATTAACCCATCAATCATAGTGTAAGTTTCCTCGGATAAAAAATATATATTTGAAAAGGCGACCCCAAAGTAAATGAAAGTGAATAGTATAGGAGAAAAAGTTAAAAATATAA